ATAGCAAGCACTTAATAAATATTTATCGACTGGAATTGAATTTGACCTGCTTAGGAGTCATAGTCTTGAGGTAGGATTATTCATTTTGGGCAGGAGCGGTCATAAATCACTGAGTTTAGTAGTAGTCCAGCTGATGAACTGCACAATTGAAGGCTCAGCTCCACCCCTGTGTAATCTTTGAAGACAGTGTGGCCTGCGGAGTCCTGAGACCCCACAGATCTCAGCCTCTTTCAGGTCTTCTGTACTGTGTACTCTACAGCCTTCTTGTGTTCCCACCCTTTAGCACAACTGCATGAACCCCCTCCAGGTGGCTGTTAAGTCTTTGCATAATGACTTACCTGGAATATTCCTTTCTGCAAACTTAATGTGTGCTTTTCTTGATGCTCTTGGGAATGTGTCTTCGCTGCTTTGTTTCTCCTCTAGAGCTTTGCTCATACTACATCACAGTTCTGAATTCTGTAATTCTTTCTTACACCACCAGCCCTTCCCTCTGGAAAACTCCACAAGGACATATCTGTGACTTAATCCTTTGTCTTCCTTCTGCCCCAAACAGTGCCTGGCATGAATACTTACTTTCTTTGAATTACCAAATGGACCTTGAAGTTCATGTAAACTTACAAATGGAATAAAATAAAAGTAGAAATGAGTGTAGAGGGGGATCATTAATTATGTGCCTAATTCTAATTCAGTTGTGATAGAGTTGGGAAGATGCAGGGCCTGAGGTCCAGAAGATGCAGGGGCCTGAGATTCAGAAGATGCAGTCTCTTGTATTGAATTGATGGTTTTTTAATTGTCCCTTCATCTTTGTAGTTCTTTGCTTTTTAAATCTGGTAATGAATGGATTGGATGAGATCTTTTCTTAGATCCCTTCCAGCAAGAATCACATTGCTCCTAAGTTAATTATATAGAACAAGGTCTCGTTTGCCAGACTCCTTAAGGCAGGAAGTATGTTCTACTCATCCTTAATTTCCTGGCACATAACTTAGTACCTGATATATAGAAGTTATTTAGTGGGTTTTGTCCTTTAATCAAGCAGTGCGTTTTCCACATGAAATTACAGTTAGAAAAAAGGCAAGTGAGAAAAATGTCATGTAGAGAATAGTGAATTAGATATTCACAAAATGGAAAAATATCTATTAAAAAACAATTAATTGGGATGTCTAAAAAGATAAGTGGTATTTTTCTTCCAGTAGTTAACAGTTTAACCAATAGAACAAATGAATTTATAGCTTCCCTGTCCTCTCTTTACAAGTTAATAATTTATCAGTCTGTGACGTTTTACAAGGACATGTTGCTAATATTCAGCCTTGTCTACTATAAGAGCTTGAAATTCATGTGTGTACTCATGGTAGCTTTCGAGAATTGAAAAGCAGGAGCTGGTAAGATGTGGCTCAGTGGGTAAAGATGCTGGCAGCTAAGTAGGTGACCTGAATTCTATCCCTGAACCCACATGGTGGAAGGAGAGAACTGGTTCTGTCAAGTTGTTCTCTGACTTCCACACACAAGCCATTGCACATTTACACACACACACACACACACACACACACACACTCACATATACACTCACAGTGTGTGTGTGTGTGTGTGTATATGTATGTATGTATGTATGTATGTATGTATGTATGTATGTATGTATGTATGTATATTAAGTAAATTAACAAATAATTGAAAAGCTGTGTCCTGGGTGTGTAAATCATTGCCATATGGCCCATGGACATGGTAGAGGGAGCTTCCTCTCTCTTATCTGTGTAAGCTCTGTGAGCCCTTTCACTCTACAAAGACTTGATATTATTTAATAAGGGACATTTTATCTGACCCTTGCCAAGAGATCTCTTGAGGATTAAGGTAGCATTCTCATATTTAAATTAAACCCTTACTCCTGGGTTGTTAATTGTATACCTGTAGAACTCAGTTATGAAAATTAAGCAAATTATACAGTCAAACCATTTACACAAAGTGTGTGTGTGTGTACACACTTATTCTTTTTGATCAATTAATCCTATGTATTTATTACTTGTATCGTATTTGCTAAAATCTTCTGTTTTAGGAACTGTACACAGTAGGAGGAAACGGAAATGTAGCACTGTGTGAATTGGTTTTGCTAAAGGTTGATGCCTGTGGTTGAGCTGGGCGTGGTGGGGCACACCTTTAATCCCAGCACTAGGGAGGTAGAGGCAGTTGGATCTCTGTGAGTTCAAGGCTAGCCTGGTCTACAAATCGAGGTCAAGGACAGCCAGGGCTATTACATAGAGAAACCCTGTCTCAGAAACAAACCAACCAACTAACCAAAAAAAAAAAAAAAAAACAAAAAAAAAAAAAAAAAAAAAAAAAAAAAAAAACCTATATCTATGTATCATGGTATCTTCACAAGTGGTTTATTTCATTGTTTGCTGACAGATTTTTACTTTTGTTTATGCTTCCTGAAATTATTACAGTTCACCTGTTTTCTGTTTGTCAGAGCATTTTTGTATGTGTTCGCAAGCAGGTATATGTTTTGTGAGACCTGAAATCATTATCATTTGGAGGGAACCTACTACATTGCTGTATAAGCTTAAGTAGGAAGGAGAATTTTCCTTAGAGTAAAAGAAAGAAAAGCAAATTAAAACATGAAAAGCTCCCAAGACTGCACATGATGATGAAGATATTGACACTACTGTTTCACAGGCCACCTCTTGCTCTCAGCCTCTCCTATTACCCTCATGTCCTTCCTAGCCTGGCTTCCATGAGGCCATTCAGATAGTATATTAAAGTGCACCTCCTTACCCCCATGGCGGGATAGTCAGTTCTATTATACTTGTGTGTTCCTGAAGCCATATTTAAAACATAAAATACACAAACATATTCTGTTCGTGGAAAATTATGTATCTTTAAGGTTTATGGCACAATGTTTTGATATACCCATGAAGAGAAAGAGGCACTGTAGTTGAATGAGTGCACACGTCCACTTTGTTGTGCGCTAAGCGTGTCTGCAATCCTTTATTGTAGCCATTTCAGTGTACAAAGGTGATAGTGCAACTGTGGTCCCCGCACTTTATGTTAGATCTCTACACTCGTTCATCTTCATTTCTCTTTGTACCCCTTGACCTACTTTCCCCTCTTTGTCTTCTCCGTATCCTTCATAGCTGTTACTCAACTTGTTTCTACTGATTTCACTTCTTCAGTTTTAGATTCTGTATATAAATGAGATCACACAGTGTTTTTCTCTGTCTGGTTTATTTCAGACTGCCAACCATAATTTTACTATTTCTGGAAGTGACTGTATGCTTTGCATATAAACCCTCTAAACCCATACTAAATGTCTCTCCAACTCAGCTTCCTACCAGCCAGGTTCCAGAAATGTCCTTTGGCCATGCCAAATGTGAGGTTCAGTATGATGAGGAGGAAGCTGACAGTATTGCTTTTTTTTTTTTTTTAAATTTGAATTAGAAACAAGATTGTTTTACATGTCAATCTCAGTTCCCACTCCCCACCCTCCTCCCCTACCACCTCCCCCCCCAACTAAAACCCTACTATCGCATATCCTTTCTGCTCCCCAGAGAGGGTGAGGCCTTCCATAGGGGTCATCAGAGTCTATCATATCCTTTGGGATAGGGCCTCGGCCCAACCCCGTGTGTCTTGGCTCAGGGAGTATCCCTTTATGTGGAATGGGCTCCCAAAGTCCACACCTATGCTAGGGATAAGTACTGAACTACTACTGGAGGCCCCATGGATTTCTGATGTCTCCTCACTGATGCCCACATTCCTGGGGTCTGGATCAGTCCCATGTTGATATCCCAGCTATCAGTCTGGGGACCAAGAGCTCCTTTTAAAATACCTCGTTCCAAACTCTTTTATCAAAAACAAAACATTCACAAAACCTATAAGAAGAACAGGCATCTGAGGGACTCAGGGAGGCCCTTGTGATACATTGACATAACAATCCTCCTGAGGTGGACATTCGGGATGTCATGAGTACTGCTCTCATACCTTAGGAAAGCATTATGCAATTACAAGAGATCTTTCTAAAATAAATGAATTAATGGGTTCACGATAGCCTAGTCATAGGGACAGAATGAAGTGGTCTTTTTTTTTTTTTTAATGGCTAAGTCACATTAATACATGAAAGCAAATGCAGTGTAGATTTGAATGAGCACTTCTTTTTTTCTGGTAGAAAGTATTTTCAGTTCTGCAGGCAGGGCTTTCTCTTGAATGCTCCAGTGACCGGCTGGCACCTGGTGCAATGACTGAACGGTATACGTCACATGTTTATAGGCCTGGTAGACACTGAGGGGGAAAGGCTTGTTTAGACCTGACACCTGTTTAACTGCTTAATAGCTCGGTTGTTAAAGTTACATATTTGTTAAAAATTCTCCTCTGGGTTCAGAAACAATGGATCAAAATATTAATTAAAATCTGTGAAAATAGCTTTAGCTAGGAATTTAATTGAGAAAAATAACATATTAAAATTAGCTATTCATTGGTTCCCTTCTTTTTTTATTTTTTATTTATTTATTTATTTTTTTTGTTTTTTGAGACAGAGTTTCTCTGTGTAGTTTTTGGAGCCTATCCTGGCACTCACTCTGGAGACCAGGCTGGCCTCAAACTCACAGAGATCCGCCTGCCTCTGCCTCCTGAGTGCTGGGATTAAAGGCATGCACCACCAACGCCCAGCTGCCTTCTTTCAGTAAAAGGGAGAATATTGACATTATAAGGTGATAAGTGAGCAGGATACTGGAGTTCTATTAAACTCTATCCATGGTGACATTGTGGAAAAGATAATCAAGATGTCCAGAGTTGAAATGAGGATGTGATAAAGGAAAGCTGTGTGGCATAAGAGAATAGGATTTGGTTGTTGTTAGAGAAGAGTATTTGTTGGTGCTTTGTAAACTGATTCAGTAATTCAGAGCACAGATTACATGGTGGAAAAGAAAGGGGACGTCATTCTATTCATTTACCATTTTTTCTATGAGAGAAAATATTACAGTTCCCATAAAATGTTTTATTTCTTTATTTGTTTTTAGGTAAGACTGTGCCAAAACCCCAAACTTCAGTTGAAAAATAGCCCACCGTATATACTTGACATTTTACCCGATACCTATCAGCACTTGCGACTTATATTGAGTAAATATGATGACAACCAGAAGCTTGTTCAACTGAGCGAGAACGAGTATTTTAAAATCTACATCGATAGTCTAATGAAGAAGTCAAAGCGAGCCATCCGGCTCTTTAAAGAAGGCAAGGAGAGAATGTACGAAGAACAGTCGCAGGACAGGTGAGCACACTTCAGATGTCTGCTGTTCATTATCTCATGTTCTTTATGTTGCTTTTTACCTCAGAGAGAACAGAAATGCCATGCTTATGTTTGGGGGACATTTCCTGGTGTATTTACTTTTCATATTATATAAGTTTAGGTGGAAAGCTGAACCTGAGCCCATGTGCTTGCTTTTCTATAGACTTCTGTTGATAGAATAGTTTGAGTTTCACAGGAAGACTGCTCGCTCACACTGGTTCATCCTCCTTCCTCCCAGGCAAGTAGTTTTCTCTAGTTGATAGCTTTTGTATGGATTTTCCTCAAGACATATGAACAAGCCCCTCTTCTACCCAGATAGGCCACTGACAGAACAAGGCAACAATTCTACTTAAGTCCAGCTTGGTAAACCAGTGTGATTCCTGGGGTTATGTGTTGAGGCTGGGTGACAGCAACCAGAAGAGCATCTCTTCCAAGTCCCACCCTAGTGTGGATGATGGCTCTGAAGCTGTTTTACTACCATACAGTTAATCTTCCTCTTCCTATTACCCCCGTCCTGATCGCCACCCCCCCCCCCATGCCAAGGACTATGGGTCTAGGAGGCAGGAGAGGGTGGCAGGTGGACTCTCCGGTGAGCAGCCAAGAGCCTGATGATTCATCTACTTCATTGTATGAGAAAATGTCAAAAAAAAGCTCCATTTCTGTGAATGTAGCTGTCACTGTATGCTTTTGTCTATTTTGTTGCCAGCACTGTGGCATCAAGGTCTTCTGTAGATCATCAGAGCAGTATCTACTCTGTGCTGGATATGGTAGAGCTCAGCCTTGAGAATGGAGCTTCACCACAATACTGTCTTTGCATTAGTGTGTACATAGCATTGTCAACAAATCAGTATTGATCACTTTGTATTTGGGTTTACTGTTTTTTTATTGTTCTATAGTTTATAAATATATACTTGTCATGTATCTACCCATACTACAAAAAAAAGAGCAAAACAAAACAAAAAACCTCCCTATGTTGGGCTGGAAGAATGGCTCAGTTGTTAAAGGTTAAAGATTACAACCAAAATGACAAAATGCTCTATGTTCAAGCTAGTCACTGTGCAATATGTAACTTTTCAGACTGGCCTCCTGCCATCTTTTTATAGCTCCATAGCGCCCCTTTTCATTTCATGGACTATGCCATTGTATGTTTATATCACACTTTGATTTTATACCCACATTCATGTTGTAGGGTACCTTGATTGTCTAAACTTGTGGCAACTCTGTTGAAACTGCTTCAGGACATTCAGTTCATCTGGGGAAATAGGAGCATGTTTGTAAGATTAGATGACTTGCCTTTGTTTAACTTTGTAAATTCTAAAGTTTTATAGTGACTGGATTGTTTTTCATTCCCACCAATAATCAGTGAGATTTCCTTGATGTGTATCTACATGAGCATCAGGTGTTGGAGATACTGTACTTTAGGTCCATTTCCAATCTGTTGGTGCAGTGGCTTTGAGTAGATGTTGCTTCAGTCTCCATACATTGATCATTAATGAGAAACTGGCTGGGGAAAGGCTGATGTGACATTGGTTCAGTCCTCACTTTTTGACTATGTGTGTTCTGCCTGTGCTCTCTGTGTGCCTCTGTCTCTGCCCCGTCTCCACCCCTACCCCACCAGCACCTCTCTCTCTACCTCTCTCAAAGACAAGATCTCATTTACCCCAGGATGGCCTCAAACTTTCTTGTTTGATTTTAGTTTTACATTTTTATTTTGTTTGCATTGGTGTTTTGCCTGCTTGTCTGTGTGAAGGTGTCGAATACCCTGGAACCTAGTGTTACAGATAGTTGTGAGCTGCCATGTGGGTGCTGGGAATTAAACTTGGGTCTTCAGGAGAAGCAGCCAGTGCTCTTTACTTCAGAGCTATCTCTCCTGCCCCAGCCTCAAACTTTCTATACAGTCATGTCTTGCCTTGAACTCTTGATTCCCCTGCCTCCACCTTCTGATGCTACCAGGATATATCACTCTGAATTTCCTAGTCCTTGTGAGGTCTACTGGGTGAGTTTAGACACACAAAGTGTAGTGTGGAAGAGAGAGCCTATTACAGAGAAAAGTAGGACACTATCAAGGGATGAGTTGGGGCAGTAGCCAAAGTGATCATTATTGCCAGCCTACATTCTTAGGTAGACTTTATATAAGTTCTCAAGGTTTCTATAACTGATGGTTTTTCTGAGGGGAGTTTGACAGATGATTGACAGGCCCAGTTAAGGGGTGAGGGTGGGGGGAGAATACCATGTCCTTTTTTTACCAGAAATTTTCCTAACTAGACAGTAGTTGTTATGAGCTCCCAAGGTTTTGATAACTGCTTAGAATGTTTTGTCTCCACTTGTGTCCAGACATGGGAATCAGATCACATTTTCCTGACCAATTAAGTCCTCCAATTGCAGTTCCTGGTATTCAAGCTGCTGATTCTGAGACAGGAGTCTCTTCTCAGTAACCTTCCAACCTGCTGATATCTAAGTATTTACTTAAAACAGGACCTAACTCCAGGATTCTTTTTTGGGTGGGTGGGTGGCTAGGCCACCCAGATAAGGTTTCTCTATATAACAATTCTGACAGTTCTAGAAGTCCCTCTGTAGACCAGGCTAGCCTCAAACTCACAGAGATCTGCCTGCCTCTGCCTTCCAAGTGCTGGGATTAAATGTGCACCACCACTGCCCAGTGTAGCCAGGATGCTTTATGAGTGCATTGATGTTTGCTGTCTGGCCCTTTAGGTTTCTCATTTCAAGATACCTTAAGCTAGCTAAGGAACTGATAGTCTGTCCCTTTTCTGAGCTACCTTCAATGTACCCAAAATATTCACTGATAGTAAAAGTATTTTCAGCTGGAAAACTAGTATGAATTAAGATACAAAATGTCTTAGCATTGGTTGAATTCATTTACCTCTCTGAATCTCAGTTCCTTGAATTAGGAAAACCTCTGAGAAACATGTAATGTTTCTTTTATATCGGAAAATATAACCTCCTTTGGTTTGAGATGGTTTAGGGTTATATAATGGAAAATGTAGTTGTCTTGGTGTGGAGGCTCTGGAATTGTTTGTGAAAGCTAGCCAAACAAATACACAGAGCATGTAAAACGACCAAAATCAAGCATAGCAAAGCCCTCTGCCAAAGGTAAAGTGACGTCAATGTTTATTCCAAGCATTTTCTAACTTTTTCACGAACCTAGTTTACCCATAGAATATAGTTATGTAACTCTGTGGGTTCTTCACTTAATGTTCTTGGAAGATAGTTTATACGTCTTGAGGGCAGTGATTTTCCTGGTTGCCTTTTAGTTTTAAAGCTCAAAACTCTCCAGGTTTTCCTCAATGAGACTTTGAATTGCTCCAGAGTTCCAGCAATAAGGTAGAGAGCACCCATCAGGATTGTTATTCTTACAGGCTTTAAAAGATGGCCTAAGATCTTGAAATCCAGATGTTGATATTAGAAACCTTAATTTTCACATGGTATTTGTGTCTAAAAAAGCAACAAAACTAAAAAAATCACCATACAAACAAAAAGACTAAATTACCTTTTACAAATGTCATTGTAATTCGTATTCAGATTTAACCTCAAAGTTCTAGTTAAGTCACCTTTTAATATCAGGATGCCAACAAACTGTGTGACTCTCAGGTAGCACTTTGAGTAGAAGTAGTGTTTTAGCTGGATATAAGACTGATGTGGGAAACTTGTATCCCACTTTTATGTCCTCTAAAGAGACTTGAAATATTTTCTAATTCAACAGACATTTTATAATTGACTACATTAACTGTTTTGTAATTGCACCTTGTATTGTCAAAAAATTGCAGAACACATATAACAGTTCTTTGATTATGTGTAGTGTCCTATAGATAATGATAGGTCATATAAGACTGGTCATGATTAGGCAACTGTGTAAACTGCATTTGTACCTATGGTTTAAGTATCCAAGTAAATTTAGTATTGTGTCTTAAAAGTCAACTGTATGAGGAAATATAGAAGTTTGAATGCATATTCCCTTGTTGGATTTTACTGTCATCTGTGACCTCTTTCTAATGGTCTATAGCCAACTTTTTTAAAAGTATGAATTCTGTGCTGAATAATTGTCAAATGATGATTTATAATGTACCTTTAGCATTCGTGTTTCTCTCGCAGTCACATAATTGTGCACATTCACTGCTGAGCATCCATGGAGTCTACATGCAAATTTATTTGAAGTGTAATATTGAACATTTTTAGTAGCCTCAGAGACCAGCTCCTAAGGCTACCAGGATTGGAAGAAAAACTCCACAGCAAAGAGAAACTGGATATAGGGTTTTCTAATCTGAGGGGTTTAGAATAAATTTATACAAATGTGCTGTTGGAGTCATGTTCTTTATTCTGAGTTTCTAATTCCTTCTAAGTTCTAATTGTTCCTAGTTCTCTTTTGTTTTAATTATCTGTTCCAACTCTCCCTTATTTCTCTGTTCACTTAGCTTAAATACATTTTTTTTTTTTTTACAAGATGCTTGAGGCAATAATAAAAAGAGTTACAAGAGTTACATCTCATTGGTCATAGCACATTCCTTGAGTAAGTGATAAGGACCCAAACCATTTACCATGGCCACTCATGGTTTCAAGGTTCTAGGTGTAAGATTGTGACCAGAGGCCAAGGTCACAGTGCCCTCCCGGGTGAGACAAGCTACAGAGAGATCTGTACAGAGTCAGGTCTTATCAGCCAGACTTTGCAAGCAAAGAATTGGTCTGATTTTTTAGGTTGCTTGGTGTTAATAACCTTGGTAGACATCTGCAACTCTGACCTGTGTCTATCTGTAAAGTTTTTAACTTATGATCCATATACAGAGACATTCAGTCTAGTTTGAACTTGCCCTGAGGTAAAAATGAGCTAATTGTGTGTAACTTGTCTTAGACTGGAGAGACTTGTGTTAGTCTGAGTAAAGGGAGCAAAGCAGGCTTTTAAGTATTTTGCAGTCCTCATGGGACAATAGATGTAGTTATGAAGCAAATTTTAGTATATTTTCTACATA